GTGCAGGTTGTGCGAAGTAATAAATTTCTTGGGAGTCCGAGGTCGAACCACAGAAAATTGGAAAAACAAGAGACACAAAACAAATAAAAAGTAAACTTGTAAGAACAATTTATTTAAGAGATTGTTGAGTTGAGAAAATATTGATTAGAGTAATTAAAATAATATAATAAAAATACTAGAACATCAGGTACTCCCTCTCAATTCCGTATAATAATGATTAAAGACTCAAATCTTAACTTGAGACAAGAATCAGATGTCGGTTGATTCATGTGACAAATCAAGAAAGAAAACCTAAAGTTATAATCAAAAGATTATTTAGGAACCTGAATAATCATCCAATTATATTATTTTATGAAATAATGATAATTACCTCAAGCATGAAATAACCAGTTATTTACTTGCAGAAAAATTCAAGCAATCGATGTACATGACACAACAACTCAAGGATTTTTACAGAGCAAAAACTTTGCTATAAGATCAGAAGTTAAATTAACAAAATATCATAAATCATTAAACTCAGAATCAATAACATTACCGTACTTCATTGAGAGGTTCTCTCCTAGCCCTAGCTTAGCCTTCTAGCCGGACATGACAAACTAAAACTAGAAAATAAAAGATGGGAAAAGAATCATAATCTAAATCCTAGATGAGAACCCTTACTTATACTAAAAATAAATTCTAAGTATAAGTAGAAGATATAAGGTTGGCTTGGAAGGAATTTATTTTCAAAGAGAAATCTTGTAAGGTTAAATCCCGTGCATAAAATCTTTGGGGCACGGGTACAAAATCTATCCAGATTTCAAGCTTGGATTTCGCATATTTAGAGGATGATTTACAAAATTTTTGTGAAATACACTTTTGTAGACCTTGGAATCTTCTTTCTAACCCCCCAAAATTAAGTAAATCGGATATCAAAGTCAAAAGTTATGACCAGAATACTGAAGACATGTCAAATCTTTATTCTTCTAGGATACTTTCCTAATCTAACTTTAAATGAGTTTTCTTCCATCTTGGACTCTTATAAGGATTAAATTGTTGTCATATCTTCAAGTCTTCCTACCTCAATATTGACTCTCCAATCCTTATTAGTTGTGATTCTTCCTCTAGTGATTGATTTACTTGTCTTATCCATTATTATTTTAAATCAACTAATTTACCTGCAAAATAAACCAAACAACTAGAAAAAGTATCAAACTGAAAAATCAAGAAATTCAACACATTTAATCATAAATAATATGAAATTAACCAATCATTAAATGTAATAAAATAGTAATTTTGATGGTTAATCATGGGCAAAGGCCGAACCCTTGGCAAAGATAACATATGCAAAGGTCAAAGATTTTATCTGGAAGAACCTGGTATGTCGATTCGGGATACCCCATGCCATTGTAAGTGACAACGTCAAAAAGTTTGACAACAAGCTCCTGAACTCATTCTGCTCTGACCTTCAAATAAAACAGCCTCATTCAAGCTTGGCGCACCCGCAAGCAAACGGACAAGCGGAAGTTATGGTGAGAACGGTGCTACGCAACCTAAAGACAAGGCTTGAAAAGGGGAAGGGTCTTTGGGTTGACGAGCTCCCAGGTGTTTTATGGGCATACCGCACCACACTAAGAGCTGCAATTGGAGAAACTCCATTCTCCCTTGCTTTTGGAACTGAGGTAGTCATCCTTGTGGAAATCGGGGTGCACTCTCTAAGGGTCCAACACCATGACCCAGCCACTAATGAGGAAAGACTTTGCATCAACCTCAACTTGGTAGAGGAGGCAAGGGAGATGGCTATGGTCCGCAATGCGGAGTATAAGTGCCGCATAGCAAAGTACTACAACTCAAGAATAAAGTCTCGTTCCTCCTCAATGCGGAGTATAAGTGTCGCATAACAAAGTACTACAACTTGAGGGTAAAATCTCGTTCCTTTCTTGAGACTGGGTCCTCAAGAAAGTGATCCTTGCTACAAAGAATTCACGAGAAGGAAAGTTGGGACCAAACTAGGAGGGACCCTACCTCATAACAGAAGTGGTGAGGCTGAGTACCTACAAGATACAAAGTTCTGAGGGGAAGGTTTTGCCCCATCCATGGAATGCTGAGCACCTGAAGAGGTACTATCAGTGACACCTTGAGAGAGAAGAAAAGTTTGGGACTTGGTTTTATTTTTTGTACTCTTTTGTGGGGATATTACCCGATATGGCTTCATATAAGCAGAAAAATGAATAAAAATTCTAGATTTACTTCAAAAAGATATTTGCATTTTCATATTCAACTTCTCTACTTCAAAGTAGCATCAGTGGCAAGAACCACTTTTACAAAAAGATGGCTACATGCTTTTTCAAAAAAAAAAAAAAGTCTCTAGCATACTAACTACTCATGGTCGTCATTCTCCGTCTCATCATTATCCTCGGCATCGTCGGAACCTCCATCACTGTCATTAGGCGCCTCAGTTGGCAAGAAGCCTGAAACATCAATATCAGAAAAAATAGTAGAAATCTTTCTCTGAAGTTCCTCATATCCGTCAATAAAGGCATCTGCAAGGCCACTATCAAAGTCCCCTCTCAACTATCACAGCCCTCTCCTCAGCTTGCGAAGCTCTCTCATGAGTTGTCCTCACCTCTGCTTGTGCGGCAACATCTCTGAGCATGACCCTCTCACAGACCTCCGCAAGCTTAGCCTTGAGCTTGGTCGTCTTCCCATGGGTCGCCGAAAGCTCAACCTCACTGAGTGTGGCCCTCTCACGGACCTTCGCAAACTCAGCGTCGAGCTTGGCCGCCCTTCCATGGGACGCCAAAAGCTCAGCCTCACTAAGTGTGGCCCTCTCACGGGGCCTCTACAAGCTCATCCTTGAGCTTGACCATCCTCTCATGGATAGCCAAAAGCTCAGTCTCAAGACCAACCGCCCTCTCGCGGGTTGCCACAAGGTCAGCATCAGAAGCCCTGCCAGTAGCTTCAAACTCGATGATCCTCATCTGAGCAACAAGAAGCTCATTTTGCACCACTTCATGATCGTGTTTCAGCTTGTGATAAAGGATAGTCCTTGAAAATAAACACATAGCTGTAGTGGAGGCCTAAAGAGAAATAGAAGACAAAAGAATGTCAGAAGCTTATGAAAGGAAGGGAGAAAAGGGGAGAGAATAAACCCTTATCTGAGTCCAGCCTTCTAAGAAAGAGTTGAGGATCCTCTCGGTGCCCAAGGCACTAATCCCATTCACATCGTTGGTGAATAAAAACTTCCCAAGACGACCGTTGATGACCTGCGCGTTACCCAACATAGAGTTAATCTGAGAAGGTGCCCTAGAAGTCCTCACAAGAGGAGTGGATAAATAGGGGGCAGAAGGTGTGGCCAATAAATGAGACTCTAGACGAGATTCTAGGGCAGGAGGTGCAGTTGTGGGAGCCTCTAACCAAGGAGGCACCTCTGGATTGGTCATTTATTGGGAGGACGCTCGAGGTACCAGTGGAAGGGTTAACTGAGGAGAGCTCATCTCGAGTAGCATAGTTGGAAAGGCCACCTAGGAGGCATCCTCCGTCCTCGCCACCTTAGAAGAAGGAGGACTCCTACTAGAAAGGCGGGACCCAATCATCTCCCTATCTACTGCTTCAAAGAAAATAAAGTGTCACCAAGATAAAAAAAAAAATCAAAGTGAAATAAGAAGGTATAGAAGAATCAACATACCTTTTCTTTTCAAGGAGGGACCGCTAGACCTTGGAGCGGGACCACTGGCACCTACGGAAGAGGAACCAATAACTCCTTCACTCTTAGGAATGAGAGCTTCAAAGTCCCTTGTAGAGTAAGTCTTCACAGCCTGTAGCTTCCACTCTTGGTCTTTGGAGAGCATAAGAGCACCTACAAGGAATATAATAAGTACATCGCTTACAGAGAATGAGGTAAGAGAGGAGTAAGAATGAAGGGCATACCAACTTTCTTTGGAGCATCCCATCGTGTTATTACCAACACCATATTAGCATCCGAAGACCATATTAGCATCCGAAAAATATGAAACGAGATTTTCAGCTATGACATTTAGAGGGCAGTTCGGTAATCAACTTGCCTCCCCTCGTGATAAAGTAATACCAACCTTGATTAGGAGAAGGAGTCTCACTTGGGTAATAAGCTACATGGAATTCTTTAGGAGAGGCATCCTCAAGGTGCACCCTTTTCTATAATGCTAAGAAACTCAACAACACTCTCCAACCGTTGGGCACCAACTGCCTAGGTGTTAGGGAAAAATAGTTCAAAATGCCACAAACGGGAGAAGGCATTGGGAACCTAAGCCCAACCTCAAGCACCTCCTCATAAATAGCAATGTCACCAAAGGAGTCATCGCACGCAGGCTCACTCATCTCGGCTTGACGACATAGCACAGTTGGAGGAATATGATAGGTGATATCAGCGTCTGAATTTAAAATGTTGGGAGTTAGTACTTACCTTGGACCCATCGTCATCGAGAGCTACCTTACCTCAATGCTTTTTAACGTAAGGGCGTAATGCTCTGTCCGAGCCAGAAAGGTCGCTAGGAAAATGATTTTGAGAAGCTACGTTTGGAATAGCAGGCTGCTGGCCCAGTCTACTCAGCGCAGTAGGCTGCTCGCCTAGGCTGACCAGTGCAATAGGCTACTGTCCCGATCTTCTCAGCGTAGCAGTCTGCTCGCCTAGGCTGCCCAGCACAGCAGGCTGCTCGCCCAAAGCTGTTCGCCCCTCCAAGACCTGCTCACCCAAGGGTTGAGCACCCACGTTACCCACTTCAGCGCCTAAGCTGGAACCCAGATTGGCGCCCAGACCAGCATGATCGACACCTAGATTGGCACCCAGATTAACGCCTTGTTCGCCCAAAACAACCTGCTCAGCTCCTAAACTGCTCTGTTCAACGCCTAAACTGCCCTGCTCAGTGCCTAAACTAACCTGTTCACCTATATTGCACAAACCAACGCCTAAATGGGCGCTCAATACCCTCATTTCGCGCACAGTAGGAGCGCGCCCAGTGGCAGACCACAGATCAGAGTTGTGCTCACCCAAAGAGGCGCCTAAGACCTTTCCTTCCTCCCTCGCCTTTTTCCTCATCTTGTCTTGCTTGCCTAGCACACGAACTGCTCACCCATGGGCAGTATCTCCATCACCACCCAGCTCGTTCTCCACCATAGCCTGCCGAGCTCACCTATCACCATGACCTAGCTCGCCCAAATGGCTCCTTCGCCCACCATCGCCACCTTGGTACCTCATAGGTGCCTCATCTCCTTGGTTCACCCCACCAATACTGCTTTGACCCATGAATTTCTGGGAGGTACTTGTTTGCACAACAATCTCATCATGGATCGCTTGGCCGCTGCCTGTTTCTTCTTCAATGATAATGGATGGTTGCATCTCTTTTCTAGTCGACATTGATGCTCAAACTCAAGAATTCCTAACCTTGGGTCTCCAAAGATTTCAAGAAGGAGAACACTTGAATAAGAATGAATAAAATGAGTAGAATGAAGAAGAAAATTACTATTTATAACCTAGGGTTTCAAAGTCCTCTTGGAAAAGCAAAAAAAAACCCAAAAGCCCCAAATTGCAACTATAGCTTTCTAAAAATCCAAAAAGGAAGGAGAAATGGAGTTTATATAGGCAATGAGTCCCTACAAGCATAAGGAATCTATTGGAAAGGATGTGGGTTGTCAATCAAGAAATTTTTTGAAAAATTTGAATTTTAAGAGGTATGTACGCTATTTTGACCGTAATTTTTGACTATCTCAAATTGAAGCTCTCGAAGAGCTCTACAAGGATCACTACCTTTGGTTGTGAATGATGCTAAAAAAAAGCCTAAAAAAGGCCTGGAAGTATTAGTTTTGGCCACCCAAAGTTTTTTCAATTTTGTCGTTCGGTCAAAAATTCAAACTCGACTGAATGCCCTCCTTTCTAAGTTCCTTAAACGTAGGGTATTGAGGGGAAAATGATGGGCCAAATCCAAGGGTCCAACTCATGTTATAAGCCTAGTCCGAGTTTTAAGGCCCAACTCCAAGAGGTCCACCAAGTTCAGCCCAATGTGATCGGTTTAGTCAAACTCATTAAGCTTAAGGAGTTACATCAACAAGAAGCATGCAAGGTCATCTGGGAGTCTCCTCTACACCACCAAGAGAGCGTCCAAGAGCCTCAACCCAGCCGCTTGAAGAGCATCATAAACTTCTTTGTCGTTGAGAGAGCAGAGGTCGCCAAACTATTTAATCACTATTAAAGTCACACCAACCCATTATGACTATTAAACGACCACAACCCCGTTATGACCATCCGACTAGCTATGCAATTATTTTACTAAGCCACTATAAATTATAAGTCCCACCAACACTTAGAGGGCATCAAACTCATTTGAGCATAATTCTCTCCTCCTTTCTCAAAGCTTGTAATATTATGTTCTCCTTCCACACCGGAAATAATAAAATACTGGCGACCCTTGCCATTCAAAGTGAACATAGGTCACGTTGACCGAACCACTATAAACCTTGTCTTCCCTCTCCACTTATTTTACTGCATTTTATATTGCATACTTGACATGTGGTGTACAAACTAATTTTGTGCATCATCATTTGTGATTTTAGAAACCGTTTGAATTTTTGAAAATTGTCTTATTGCATTTACAAGAAAAAATCTTCACATTTTTTTTTTTTTATGTTATGTGTTCTTAAGCGATTAAAGTTTTTTCCAAACTAGCAACCAAATCTATCTTCGTCGGCCATTTACATTTATTTAAACCAGATTGTACTTCAACCAAATCGATTTTATCTTATTCATAAAGTTATTTTTTTTCTTAAGAGGTTGCAATTGGAGCATATTATCTTCAACTACGACACAAAATTTATCTTTCGTTATTGAAATTGAAGTGTTCCTTTTACCATAAGTTTTATTTTTATGTTGTTGAATTTTGAATTTTTCTTAAAATCTTAATTGGATAATTCAAAATTAATATTGTTCTTGCATGATTTTGCTTGTGTGACTTCAGATTAGTCATTGTTTTGGTCAGTATATTATTCATTATTCTTATAATATCTTTATAGTTTGAAAAAAAAATTTGGATATGATTTTTGGACTTCAAAAAATAATTTTTTTTCTATATATGTTTGTTTGTTGTCACGATTTCAATTTAAACAATTCAGTTATTTATGTGAATTTTATAAAAATAAATCATATTTTGTTATTTTCAAAAATTTATCCATTACATTTTTGCGAATTGTTTTCAATATCTAATGAACAAATTTTACATTTTGGACTTGTGTCACTTTTGGTGTTATTGTTTCGCTAATTAATTGCCTCCTTTTTATTAATTATCACTGTCTGCCAAGATGTTTCAGTGGCTTGTGCTATAACTGGTCCCTATACTTGAGCTCATATTTATTTTTTGAATAAGACCTCGTTTTTACAATGTCCATGAGAATTTTTATATAGTTTGTATGTTAGCGAGACAACAAATAGCGAATAAGCACATAACTATCAAAAATTAAAAATTGGTACTCAGTTCACAAAAGCTAGCTTAATAATGTGACAATAAAGAGTGAATCCATACTTAAAACGCAGAACATAAAAATTAATACTCAATTCATAAAATTATTATAAAAGTGTGACAGCAAAAGTGAATCAACACATAACCTTTAAAAATTTGTACTTAGTTCAGCATAATACTATGACAACAAATAGTTAATCCACATATGAAACACAGAAGTTGAAGATTGATAATCAATTAACAAAACGTTAGGGTAAAAATGTGACAGTATAGAGTGAACCGCACATAACTCCCAAAAAATTGAAGATTGGTAAACAATTCACAAAACTAGCCTAATAGTGTGTGACAACACATAGTGAGTCCACATATAATACAAAATATGAAGATTGGTAATCAATTGGCAAAAGCTTGTGTAAAAATGTTACAACAAAGAGCGAGTCCACACTTATAATGTGACAACTTAGTGTAATAATGTGACAATACAAATTATATCCACACTTAACACACAAAATTTGAATAGTTTGTACTCGATCCATGAAACTTGCACAACAATGTGACAACAATCAGTAAATTCACTCAGAACATCCAAATTGGTAATCAATCCTTATAGTTAGTCTAATAGTGTGACAACAAAGAATTATTGCATATATAAAACCCAAACTTTCAATAATTGCACTCGAATCATGAAGTTTTGTGTAACAATGTGACAACAAAAAGTGAATACACACTTACCATCCAAAAGCTGAATATTTTAAACACAAATCATAAAATTTGCAAAATTTGTGTGACAGTAAAGACTGAATCCACTCGTAAACACAAAATCTTGAAATTGTTACTCACTACATTTAGTCTATAAATAGGGTGTCAACAAAAATAAATTCATTCATTACCACAAACTGATAAAAATATACCAAACGAATTTTCAAATTTAAGATATATTGACTTCAAAGAGAGACACCACACAAAATAAAGAAAAGTCCAAATTCAAGACATTGAGTGAAAACCTTGCGCTGAGCGGAAATTTGCTGGCATTTGCCTCAAACACCTTGGTTTAACACAACATGCTTGAAATATCCAAAAAGTCAAAAACAGTCCCAGTGGCATTTCAACAAACACATTATAGGCAAAAAAAAAAAAATTAGAATGAGAAAGCAAATTGGAACATTATTTTCGAAATCAATAAATGAACAAAGTTAGATTGAGAAATTATCATCACAATTCATAGAGAGACAACGAAGAAGTAAATGAAACAAAAAAAAAAAAAAAAAATGTAACAAAATAATTCCAAAATAATAGACTTCTTAAAACAACAATCTATAGATCCAGTTTTTAAGATTCGGCAAAAAGTCGTGGTTTCAAATTCATAAATGTTAGTGATAGATTCCTCATACAAAGAAACTATTAAAGAAGATATATGATTTCACATCTCATTTTACCATTAAAAAAGAAGAGTTAATTCCTTTTTATTCCCTTTAGTTTCGACTAAAAGTACTTTACCCATTTGATGTTTAAAGTTATGCACATTACCCTCTTATAGTTATATACCAACGTAAAATAATTGACGTCGTCAATGAAATTAAAAAATTACCATAATAACCACGTTTTAAAATCAAACTTTTCGTCTGATTTACTCTTGATCATAAAACTAATTGAATATGACAACAAACCAATACATTTCAATTAAACATCTCAAGTCTCTTTTTCCCTCAAGTAAGGTTTGGTTTTAGGGTGAAAATTACTTATGTTTTTTTTACATATTTTTTGATATGAGATCAATGTTCTACTTATTTAGGTATTATATTATATATTATAAAGAATATTTTAGACACTTTGACAATGTTCTTTTGAAAGAAAACAATGAAAACAAAGTTTATAACATATTTTGGGCGTATAGAGCACATTCTCCATTAACATGGATGATAAAAATAACAAATTTTATTTGGTACATAACTATAAGAGGGTAATGTGCATAATTTTAAATATCAAGTACGTAATGTATTTTTAGTCGAAACACGGGGAGGTAAAAATAAATTAACCCAAAAAAAAAAAATATGACTTACGAGAGACAACCAGGAAATGATGGAGTGCGAGAAATGTGTGTATGTGTATGAGAGAGGGAGAGAAAGGGGGATTATGACCTAAATTTCTCCAGCGATGGCAACGAACTGTTGTTTTGACAGCTCATAATTCTTTTTCAAATTCTAATTGTACTCTCTAGAAAGTTCTTGACGGTGATGTAGAATGAATGCATGTTTAACGGTTAAAATTTTTTTAGAGACGTGTTTCATTTAATTAACCTCGTTAAAATTTTGATTTGGTTTCCTATTTCGATTAATTCTTTCGGAAATATAATATTAAGGGTATTGTAGACCTTTTAATACAAAATGTACTTTTTTAAAAAAAAAACTTGGGTTAAATTTTTTGATAAATAAATTGTTAAAAGTGTATCGATTTTACAAAAAAAAATCTTTATTACAAATGGATTTGGTGAAGGAAGAAGCTCAATAAGCCAGTGGACCACCGTGGGAAGCCCACTTAAAACAATAAACGGTGAATTAACGGCAAGGAGGTCGCGATCTCCATTTGCATCGAAAAGACGAAAGTACCCCCTTCCCCAACCTTTTGTCCCCATCTTGAAAAATCTAGATTTCTAGGGTTTCCAATCAATCAACCTCAACGACAACTGCTTCTGGCGAATTGAAAAAAGAGAAAAAAAAAATGGCAAACAGCAGCAATAAAGGCGAACCGAACACAGGTCCTCAAGCCGATCGATGGTACAATCTAACCCTAGGTTCTTCCTTCAAAGACCACCACCCCTCCTCCAAGTTCTGCACTTTACGCTGTAATTTTACCGTTTTCTCTCTCCTACCTCACTTTCTCTATATGTGTGTGCGTGTATATTTGTGCATATATAAGTAGGTTGATAATTGCTGTTTTTGAATTTTTTTTGCAGATGAATTTAAACCAGCTTCAATTGATAAGAACCAACCTGGAACTCTACACAAGAACAAAGAGAATAGGGTGACTGTTGAATTTCACAACAATCAACCTGGAAGACCCAAAGTGACCTTCGAGGGTAGTAGTAGTGAGGACTACAAGGAGAATGATGCCGTCTTGTTCTTTGATGGTGAAACGCTTCGTTTAGAGCGGTTGCACCGAGCGGTGAAGCGTTTGAGGCATGTTCGGCTACCCGGCGAGTCGGCAGCTCCACCCACAGCTGTGGCTAGTTCGGCTGGTGTGGGTGCCGAGTCTAGAGTGGGTGCCGAGTCTAGTTCACCGCCGGTCGGAAAAGGGGCTAAATTCCAGCCTTCGAATAAAGGAATGGTTCATCCAATTGCGGTAAGAGAAATAGTAATTTTCAATTTGTAATTGCTAATTTCAAAATGTTGGTGAGCAAATATCATTTAGGAGTAGGCGCATTTGGCTTCCTTTTATTTCCAATTTGTGATGCTTGAATGAAGAATCATTTGCCAAGGCCTGATGTTAACGATCCAAGTACAACTGCTACTGCTTGTTTTCTACTAAATGTGGCATTATAAAATCAAAGAAAGACATGCAATTATATATTTAACTGAGAGTTGAATTAATATTTTCACTTATTTCGGAGAGGATCATACACTTTTCTCATTGCCATAGTTTGATGCTATTTTCTATGATAAGATACAACACTAATTTCGTTGAATCTATCAGTCTTAATTTCTAGGAAGATTGATCAATGATTCCAATTTTTGATTATTTAGTGCACGCATTCTTTTACTATGCCTTCTCAACAAAAATAAAAGCTCGCATCATTGGTGATGTCATTCTTTTTGTATCTATTATTCTCATTTGAGAGAGGCCTATGTTTCAGTAGTGTTATATGTGGTCATACGCTCTTGGGTTGGATCATTTCACGAGTTGATTCTCACAATTTATTGTTAAATAGTTCAACCGAATCTGAGTTTCATCTTGGCCTTGGATTGCTGCTCGTGTCTGGTTCACCTTGGCCAGTATTCATGCCAGTGCTAATACCATGGGACTTGGATTCTCTTTCTTACTGGAGCACATCTGATTGACACCATGCACTTCGTTCAGAACTGATGGGCAGGATGCCATGTGGGTTACATGGCAATTCTATTTGTTTACTGAAGTACCATTGGATCATGTAGGATTGGATGCAGCATCATCAGTTTTAACTATCCTATTTTGCTTTTATGTGTTCACTACATGCTGTAGACTTCACCCTTTCATTTGATTCAATAACTGCATGCTACATGGCATGGCATCTGTAGTTTTCTAGTTGAAGAATTATGCGTAGTATATATCCTTGATTCATCTTCTTGGAAAATCGAGTTTATAGATGTCTTTACCGCATAATTTATGAATGCTTATCAGATATCAATCTCTTGCCTAGAACACATCTGATCTGCTCAGGTTTGTAATCAGAATATTTTACTGATTAAAAAAGCTTGATATACCATCTGTTCAATTATATATACATCTCCTGTAAATGAAGTCCTTTTCTAACACCTGCGCTTATGATCTAACTTCTATGGTGTGTACTTTTACAGGTTGAGGTGGAAAGAATTGAAATTGGTGACTTCAAAAGCTCGGGTACCTTTGTCACGTCACAATTAGTTTCATTATTCGCTATCAATTACGATTTAGCCTTCTTTTGTGTGTGTGTTGGGGTCTGGTGGTGGGCGCAGGCACGAGATTGCATCTTATCTTACCTTTTTGTTAAAGTGGGGTACATGCAAAGTGACAAAAGTAATATGGATGAAAGAAAACAATATAAATGTTTTCGAGTTATTTTTTTACTTCAGATAATCATTGACTCTAATCTCCCTTCCCCAGATGCAAAACCTAGAAATGAGAAGGTTGTCAATTATCCATCTGCCCCTCCCACCAGTCAATCAAATGCATCACCAGACCTTAAGAATGATGATGACCTGGAAGAACAGTTGGATATAATCAATTCCGATGATGATGGTGCCGGAGCAGCTAATAGAGGGAATTCTGCTGAAAAGGACTTCCATACTGGCATCGATATTAACATTCCACATCAGAATGATACAGACGATGAGATTGCTGATGTAGATGCAAGTGATGATGAAGCTGATAAAGGCCGAAATGCTGCAGAAGCTCTTAGAGCACAGGTGAATGCAGAGGAAAGACAGGAGCAAACAACGAGCTCAAGCGGTAGCAGTGGGAGTGAGAGTAGTGGGAGCGGGAGCGGGAGTGGAAGTGGGAGTGGGAGTGGGAGCAGCAGCAGTGATAGTGAAAGCAGTGATGGTGACTCAGTCAACTCCATCTGATGCATAGAAGTCGTCAGGCCATTTGAAAGTGAATGCCAAAACATTAGCTATTATAGCAACACAAAATAGCATTGTTTCCTTAACTGTTCCATTCAAGTGAGGATGCACCCTAAGAGAAGTGGCGGAGCCACAGATTCTGCTCTTGGTGTGGATTTCAGTGAAAGCTTTGGGGAAGGTGCTATGCTGAATTCCATCTTGTTACATGGTATGTTCATGGACAGGTCACCTGGTTGGATTTTCCCGAGTATGTTTACGTGGTCTTTTTTCTTTTCCTTTTATTGCTTTTCCTTATTGTTGAGAATCGAGATCAAGGATGATAAGCTTATGCTACAACCTGGATGATTACTGGTGTTTTTTTCATTCTTATTGTAAAAGAATTGGAGGATAACCCTAATTATGTGATGTAAATTTATTCAAGTGCAAAAGTAACTGAATGTAATTGTGAAAAAGTCTTTTTGGTACCATATGGAAAAGAGTATGATCTTATATCTTCGGCTAATTTATCTATAACCATTAATCATGAAAATAAAAAAAATAAAATGACTTTATACTAAATGGTACCGAAAAATAACTCTAGTTGACCTTCGTTAAAATCCTCACCTTCCGAAAAAATTGTCAAAACACCTGAAAATGAATCATAATGAGAAGCGTCAAAGAATGGCTAGTACTGCAAAGAGAAACGTGAATGAATGAGCAGGATTGCTTTCGGGATCTTGGTATGGGCAAATCGATCTGGAAGAGGTGAAAACAAAATGAGAACTGAAGCAACATGACAATTTGAAGAGAGGTTTGAGTGCTGGACCAGGCAATAAACAGGCTAAACTAGCTTGGTTTCGAATGAAAAGGTGATTCAACGGCCGAGCAGAAGATATGCAGTCCATTATCAAATATATTTTGCTGGGCATATGCATTGCATCAACCTGGCGCACCAAAACATACATGGAAGAAGGCTATTTAATCAAATCATTAACAAAAACAACGGAAAGATTCATAATTAAGCCACAAAGAAACTTCAGGATTTTCGTTCGAGTAAAAGCCATTACTTCATTTTTTTTTTTGGGCGGGGGCGGGGGCGGGGGTGTATGTGGCTTGTAAGACATTCTTGACACTATTCTATCGCTGCATTCCCGTTTTATACATTTGTTCCAAAAGTGATGACACAACTCCAGGAAGCACAACAGCACCAAGGAGTAGGTGTGACAATGTATATCAGACATGTCTGCCCCATGCGTCATACTGGTGTGGGTTCTTCCTCTTTTTGTTCTCTGCCCCTCTCATCATCATTTCCTTGACTACCCGTGTATCCATTTTGTAAAATCTTCTCTTCTGATGGCAAATTCTTCTTGGCTTTCTTGCTTCCCTCAACTTTCCACAGATCCCACACCCGGGTTTTTGGTGGAGCTGTTGCTTCTGCAATGGGTGCAATTAATCCCGGCTTGCCATCATCAATCACTTCATCCACCAACCCATATTCCTTTGCCTCCCAAGCATTCATGAAATTGTCACGGTCAGTATCACCTTCAATCTGCCAACAACGTAAAACAACAAAACAAGAGGGGCTAACTCCACATGCAGTACAATGAGAAATTTATTTGGATAGTGAAAGAACATATAGAGAGGCGCCATTTTGGATCACAAACCTGTTGTTCAGGCTTCCTCGTGATTCTTGATAGTATTTTATTCAGCTTAACCTTGTGGTACACCATCTCTCTAATTCTTATGCTCATTTCAGTTGCCTGGAATTACATGTCACAGTAGAGTGAATAATAATGAAAAAAGTTATTTGTTAGAAGCTAGCCCCTTTATGCAAAATCAATATCCTAGATCCTTTTTGTCGCAAAGAAAACAGTATCATCCATGTAGCAAGATTTAGAACTCATGGCCAAGCAGCTTCATAAGAATGAAAAATATATGTAAAAAGTGATTTAGACTTTCACCGTCCATCTTTTCAATCTGTAGCCCCCAACAGCACTGTCTGGTTGTCAAATCAGATTAATGTTTTTAGAAGAAAAGCTGATAACTTCCATTTTCGTAGTAGGGGCATCGTTTTCAAAGTCCAAAATTCCCTAGCTTCCAAAATAACAACCATTTCAACTGTAAAATTTCAGTGCTCCACTCAGATGCTTAGTATATGCAATTCTTCTATATTTAACAATAATTGTGTTTCTGACCTTATTACACACAACGAACAAAGGCATGACGACCAATATAGTAACATCTATTTGTGTACAAAATTTACAGCTATCACCCTGTTATGGCCACGAAGGAAGAATTTGGTTGTTTCCAGAAATCTAGTGAAGCAAAAGTTCTCAAAAGCACTGCCTTCTTATCAAAGCAACTTGACAAAATGCACTACTTCCAGATCACTTGTACAAGTTGCCACCAGTAAGTTCTTGCACACAAAATTCTATATGTAACAGAAAAAAGTAACAATCACACAAGCCTTCCAATACTGCAAGGTTTAGGGAGGTGAGATGTACACAATCTTACCGGGCAATGTGAAGATATTGTTTACGTAAATCGAACCCATCACTCCTAGGTCTCAATGGAATCACTTAACCATTCCGTCAAGGTTCGCTATTAGTTTGCCGATATGACTATTTTTAACATATTTATCTACAAGTGAAAAAACTAATGTTGTTCGTAAGCTATAGAGCGCCGAATACTGATAAACTTTTAGAACAATGAGGTGACTCAGAAGATAAAATAATTGCAACATCACTTCTATTCTATTTTTCTTCTACACGAAAAACTTTGATGGGTGAAGACAGTCAAACCACAGATTACGCCACACTGGTATCTCTGAAAATCAAATCCCATTAATTTTCCTACAAGAAGTTCCTGAAATTGCCTAGCCTGTACACAGGATTCGTTAACAATGCAAACAGCCCTGCTAACACTGTATGGTAATAGTGCAGGAAACGAGGTAAATTTATGACACTCAAAACAATTCATGTAAGCCTTGCCCATGACAGTGTGAGTCTTTTTATTATTTGATTACTTGTCCAAGCCTTTGAAAGGAATGACATATTTTCAGTAATAAGAATCAACTTATATATTGATCCTGAGTTCTGAGTTCCCCACAATATTAGTTTCTTGCTAGCCCCTTAATTCTCATCTAATTATTGAACTAGGGAGTCTCTTCTTCTCAAATCTCAATCCTTCTCAGACTTGAAGTCACATATTGCAAATGACGGCTATTTGTACCAAGCTAAAGAGGGCCTTGATCTTTTGAGTAGAGTAACTGTTGCAAAGTTTCAGACTTCAAGTATGTTGAAACTGGAAGTTCACTGATGTTTAACAAATATTTCAAGTAATTATGTATCATAAAAAATTGATTATCTTATGAATTGTTACTATCTGAACATAACAAAAGATAACCTAAAAAGTAAAAAGTCGGGATACACAAATCCCTATAATACAACACAAAGATGATGCTTCCTATGTCCATAATTTGTGAAGGTTTTTGAGTATCCAACTTTTGAAGGGATGTGTTTAAATGGTGTTAGGAAGATTTTTATTTCCATTAGTATCCTTACAGAAATTTTAAATTTTATTTCCGAAACTTATCGCAAATATCATATGAGGATATATTGAAAATGTTTTATGAAAAAATACACGATTTTCAAACTGGACTCTTTTCATTTGGGAGAGAGTGAGTACTATGCAGTCCCAAATTTTCAAGAGTCAGAAATCACAACTGTCCGAAAAAAACACCAACGAAGGGAACCAACAGACCATACTAACTTAAAAACTATAAAAAAACTGAAATCAAAGCCTCATGTTTCTCAAATGTTCTCCATTTTCTCACCAGTTGAACAGCACAGACACAAACATCAACTCTTTTCCAAACAGCCCTAAAGCAGTACAAGGGCCATAATGTCTATGTTAAAAATACAGAGTATGTGGATGCTGCATAACCAGTTCTGGCGCTTCAACCTTAATACTGAAGTCTGTAGCATGATTAACTAGTCAGATAAAGAAATACATAAGCAGTTAAACATCAATGTAAACATGAAATGCAGTAAGCTGTAGAAAATAGAAAGAGGATATGATAAGTATCTTTGCCTCTTAAGAAGTAATTCAAAATATCAAAAAGATGGTGGAGTTGGACAGCAGTGGTTCACAAGTGATGTAAGTTTGCAGTTCTCCAGCTAAAATAGAAGTTTCTTTGCAAAAGAAATTGGGCGGCCAACCTTTTGATCGAACTTTCATGTGGACTCATTTCATGTTTTTTTTAAACACTTCATACATAGGTTATTAATCAAACAAAGCTACTCGAGCTTGACTTTAGTTTGGCTCGGGTTTGACTCATTTAGGTTTGGTTCATTTTTTAAACGAGCCCGAGCTCGAACAAGTTTTTAGACTCGTTTAAAAAACAAGTCCTATAAGCTTGGCTCATAAGCTCGGTTCAAACTCGACAGATTTGACTCTTTTATGCGCAAATACTCGGGTTCAGCTTAGGCTTAACTTATTTTTGGCTCGTTCAGGCCCTGCTCATTTCCTAAATGAATCGAACTTGAACAATTTTTTAAGCTTGATTAAGAAACAAGTTTTTCAAGTTTAGCTCAAAATCGGCTCAGGCTCGTTCGACTAACAGCCCTTTTCATACAACCCATTGTTTGAGGTCATGCTATCGGGCATCGACTTGAAGGGCACTAAGACGCATTGATCGAGGGGCGATATCAACCGATAAGCTAAAAAAGCTAGATAGAAAACCCAAATGCTTTTGAAAAAATTATGAAAAATTCTAAAAAAATATACATATCATAATCCATGCATCATTTCTCAGAAATTCATTAATTAACACATTAAAAATATTGAAAAGGAATTGTAAGGGCACTACTGAAAATGTTATTATAACTATTTTTTTTAAAAAAACTAGTATTTAATTTAATTTTTTTTTAAATAAAAACAACAACAATAAAGATATATTAATAAAGTAAAAATTTGATAAAAACATTCAATCCCAACACTACTGAATATAAATATTGTATGAATGTATATCAAATTTAATTTAATCTTGAGTTTTAAAAATTTATGAGAAAATACAAAAATATTTTGTCCACTTTTTGTATATCCAATTACATATCATTATGTATGTGTAACTATTATATCTCGAATCAAACTTAATAAAGCTAATAATTTAATGAATTTTAGTCCTAATCAAATTCTAAGGTAAACAACAAAAAATAAAACAGAAATTGAAAGAAAAAAGAAAATCAACACCAACATATAAAACAAAATAAAATGCGTGTGACCAATCTATTTATGGGTCTTGGTGTGTGAGAGAGAGAGAGAGAGAGAGAGAGAGAGAGGAGGACGATGATTCCAAAGATAGTCAATGAAGATCTCAGAGACGATCAACGATGCTTTGATCTGCTTCTGAGGTTTCTAAAAACTTCAATCAGTAATCAACGAGAATTGGGTCTCTGCTACAAAGAAGAACGCGATCTCTAATTTACAAGTTTGTGTTATAAATTTTTTGCTCTTTGTTCTGCTAGTATAATGGCCAAAAGGGTCTAATTTTTTTAGTTGATCTTTGTTGGGATTTTGCTTGCAAGTTGGGTTTGTACTTCATCTATTTTGCCTTTTTATTTGGGCATTTTATGCTGTTGCCTGAGGGGTGTACGATTCTTTGCAAATCGATCATACTCAGAGTCAAATCGGCCAATTTAAACGAAATGAAGCCAAGTTTTGCCGAGTTGTACCGATTTGAACCGATACCTATTGGACTCAGGTCTTTTTCATACCAGGTATCGGTATCGTATCAGTGGTGGCCGAGTTGTACCGGACTCGGCCGATACTTTAAATCGTGATACAACCAGAAAATATACTTCTTAAAAAAGGAAAATAAAAGAAAGAGAGCAGGCTGAGGTATCTTGACCAACTAAAAAACAATAGAGAAAAAGAGAGCACAAACAATATGAATTAACTTTCAGCTCCGGCTGTCAAAATTAGCAATAATGCCGGTGCTCGGTGACACATCTCTGCTGTTGAGTAACATGGACAAGAAACCAATTCATATTTATGTAATTTGAGTACTTACTTTGCCTCCAGCAGTTCCAAGAGGCTGATGAATCATCACCCTCGCATTAGGCATGCAAAACCTCTTCCCTTTAGAACCAGAAGCAAGAAGAAATGCACCCATGGATGCAGCAAGACCCAAGCAAATTGTTGAAACATCAGCCTTGCACAATTTCATAGCATCATATATCCCCATTCCTACAAGCAGCAATAAATTGTAGCGGACCATAATTAATTATCAAAAACACTGAAGAAGTTTAAGGAATTGTTTATTGTGCAATGCAACAGTCAATAGAAAGTTCCACGTCTATGAAGATCAGAAAGACATGTAATAAGAAAGAGGAAAATGGATTATACTCTTAACAAAGAAAAGGAATTCAACTCCATAGACACTGAAAGAGATTAAACTAGTAACTTAGAGCACTTGAATTTTGTCTTAAAAACGCAGAGGTGCACACACAGGAGAGTGGGGGAGGAGGGCAAATATAATCCAATGAAGGATTTTGAGATGCTGTGGGGACCATTGATCTAAAAATAGGGCCATGCAATTCTAACTACCGATGGCCAAAAGCATGGGAACTTTAAAAAAGATTACATATTCAATAAAACCTTTCTTTGTATTCTAATTGGAAAGCCCACAATATTTGTCTAATTGGAAAGCCCTACATAAAATTTGTCTGTTATATCTTAAAAGCATGGATTAGACCTTATGTTTCCAAGGGATTAGAGCAACTTATGGTTTGTAGCATTTGCTACCCAAAAGAGCATCAGTGAAAATCAATGTTACCTGAATCGTGAGTCGCATTAATACATGATTTGAGTATGGGTAAATGTTACGACACTTTCTTAGGTACGCGGTACGATGGAGGTAGGTTTAACTGGTACGATATTTTGGGTCACAATTCGTTTTGGAACTCTTATGTAGATCATTTTCAATACTATACAATATTATATATTACATAACATTCATAAACACCAAGTTAGTTACCATTTATCTTATAATTGTGTTTGATTTTCTATTATCTAAAACAATATATAATTATAAATCTATATACATGCAGTCAATTAATATATATTTTATATTTGTACTACATGTTCTAAAACAAATTGATTTAGGGTTAGTATTAAGGATCGTCTATTTTGGTGATTTGGATCGTGAACTCACCTCGGGATCAATGTACCCAAATTGTGGGTCGTTAAAAGTTTAGTGAATTATGGTAACCATGGTGAAAACCATATTTGGAAGTTGTCACGGCATCAAGTGACTTATGTCTCTACATATTGTCCTTCATTAAGAAGAAGACTGCCATCTTTTTTTTATCCATAATAGGTAACAAGAAAAGTTCCATCTGTTTTAGAAGATCAATAATTTTACTTCTCACAGAATTTAGAAGACAACAAGAAACATGGAATAAACTTTGACCGAGGATCAACTGGAGTAAACACAATTCTAATTGTGACATACCAGCAGTAACAGAGCCGCCAGGTGAATTAATGAACAACTTGATGTCTTTTTTTGGGTCATCAGCATCAAGAAATAAGAGCTGACTTATGATGAAATCCGCTGTCACATCATCTACCTGCCCACCATCAATTAACTTTAATGAACGCTAAAACTCAACTTTTTTCTGGGACTTAAACATAAATAATCCTGCAACTTATACATAAAGGACAAAACCGACATATCTCCTAAATTTAGCCCATGAGCTGTAATCAAAGAACGAAATAACATCACTGAACAAAACACCTATCTAAATCTTCAAATTGAACCAATTGAGTAACTAATTAAAGAGCCAATTAACATGCGAAACCCTAAAAAAATCCAATGCTTAACCCTGAGAAAGCATCAAATGGAGTCTTCATACGGGTGTATATGAGTATATAAAGCATCAATATGTATTTGTGCATGAAATCCCAAGATAATAAACCTTAATTTCCCAAATCCTTCACTCTGAGCTACCAAAGTGCAGTGAATTGACCACTATAAGCAAAACCCATCTCGAAAATCCAAATCTATTTCATATACAGAGAGAGAGAGAGAGAGAGAGAAACCAAAACCTGGGAACCCAAAAAAATAATTCTCTGGCGAAGAAGCATGTTGGTGGTATCAAGCTCTTCGAATCTGGGCAGCCAAGAAGGGGAAGCAGAGTAGTCTGAGACATCCCAGTTGTTCGATAGCGTCTGTCGACTTGTAGATAAGCTCTGCGACGACGCTTTCACAGAAAGTGGTCTTCTTCTACTCTGAATACTGCTACTTGTAGTAATTGTACTTATTGGAATTGAAGGGTGATGAGTGGGCCCAGACAAGTGGTTGAAGACGGCTCCGCCATAGTTGAAGAAGCTCCGTGTAGGTGTTGGAGGTACTGATGCTGCGGTGAACGTTAGACAACCCCTCTCCATCTCTTTCTAATTTCTATCGCTTATTTCCCTTTGGCGTCTCAAACTCTGCTCTGGTTGTGCAAAACCCAGATTTAGGCGTCTAGGCTAAGAAATAAAACGGTGTCGTCTCTGTTTGATTCTCAGTAGATTATAACAACTACACCCCTTATATTTTAGACTGATTTTAAGGGACACCCTCATACTTTTTAAAATTATATTGACGTGTCCTCTAATTACTCTTTGTAATCGAATAACATAAGCAACCACCCTTCCAGCATCCTCACACTTCCCTCTCACAAACCCAGCTCAAAAGAAAGGGTAATTTCTCTTTATGGGACATTTGAGGCAAAAAGATTGATCACTAAGAATCATATACCCAAGCTCGCTCCGTTTGTGGTTACAATCAATAAATTATGCATGCATACAGTGTTATCGCTATTGCTTCATGGTAATCAAAATATATAGGGAATTTTTGAAGAATCATTTGTGCAATTTATTTTTAATGTGACATTTGAATGCTTGATTGAAGACGTATCTTTTGTGTATGTAATCGTCTACGTGGAGAAGATAATAATGAATCCATGGAGAGTAAGAAAGAGAAAGAAAGACCATTTTGGTAATCGTGTGGACATGAACATGGTGTTTTGGTGAGGGGTTATGTTAATCAAATAAAGAATAAAATTAGATTTATGATTGATTTGTTTCAAAAATTAGGCATAATTTTTACATTTTTCAGATCATTTCTTATCCTACCGACTTTTTCCATTAAAGTTACTAACTAATATTTGTCAGTTTGTAACATTTAGGGATGTTTTAGTGGTCAAGTCTAATCTTTGATAATTCAATGGTCTCAGGTTCAATCCCCTTTCACACTCCTCAAGGGTTAGTGCCACCCTTCTCATTTTAGAGACATATTCTAACACAACTCAAGTCACGGTGATCAACTGGTGAATTTGAGGGAGTTGTTGACACAAACCTAAACACATTGTAATAAGGGTGGTCTCCGATCAATGTAGATTGAAATATCAAGGACCTCCCACATCAATATTGAAACTATAGGGGTTAGCCTGGTGGGCTAAACAAATAATAGACGAGAGTATTGATGGTGTAATTTATACGGTTGTGTAGCAAAGCTCGGGACTTAAAAAAGGGAAAAGGATTGGAGATTAGTAAAGGGCATTAATAATGGAGTTCACTGGAATACCCCAATCAAAGCTATTACGCTTTCGGGGGTTGAACAATCAACACAAGATGAGAGTATTGATGGTGTAATTTATACGGTTGTGTAACAAAGTTTGGGACTAAAAAAAGGAAAAGGATTGGAGATTAGTAAGGGGCATTAATAATAGAGTTCACTGGAATACCCAATCAAAGCTATTACGCTTTCAATGGTTGAACAATCAACACAAGGATAATAACAGAGAATGGAATCAACAGGCAGGGGTTTATAGTGATTCATCAGCTTTGAAGTTTGACTAGTTTACTCTAATGGAGTCTCTTGCTCATGCGGAGTTTTCTATTGCTTGGGGAAGACGATTACACTGCTCTTTAGAGTCAATTTACAGGTATTTGATCATTTACAAAGTGAGGGATTGATCCCTATTTATAGTGTGCAGGAGCATGGTCCATGCGTAATCAGTATGAACCCTTTAGGGTTGTTGCGACCTATGTGATGAAATATTTGACTATTGGAAGCTACATTCTCTATGCGTGACGTGGCCTTCTAGAAGGTGTGGGTTGTCGATGTTATAATGTGCACGAGAGTTACGTTGGTGTTAACTCCTGGTCTGTGGTTCCCTAGCTAGGAATCATGAGTTGGGAGGTCTGAGGTGGAGTCACTAGCTATGCAGCTAGGGATTGGGAGCTCAGCTCGTTGACCTGACCTTAGTTGTCTCAAACTGGAACCTAGATTCTGATGTCATCATATGAGCCCTTATTGGGAGCATGTCTCCAAGCTGCTTCTGGGCCGAGCTTAACCTTGGATAATTTTTGGTATCATCAGTTGTCCCCTAGTCTTGAGTCATGTATGCCTTACCTAACGTGGATTGGAATGACCGACATTTCTAGTTGTGGATAAGCTCGGCTCGTATTTACTTGGAATGGGCATGATGGGATGTTTCCCATAAATTTTGACATTGCATGCGTGTGAGGAGTCACTTATGCCTTGATTATCGTGCACTTCAACGTTGTTGCACCACTCGTCCAGTCGTATAAGCGCCTTAAAGGCCTCCTTAAAGAAAACCACCAAAATTCTCATATTTCATCTTTTTTGCCATTTCAAATTCCTCTATGTTTTTTCCAGAAAACATCTCTCTCTACCTCTTTCTTTGGGATTTCATCTTCCTTTCTTCCTCTATCCTTCAAGCATTTTTAGTGAGCACCCAGATCTTCCTTGGGATTATTTAGAGGACTTTCGAAGCTTCCTTCACCCTTCCTTGGCCCTTTTTTTTCCAACAGTTGATAGCCTATGTTTTCTAGGTACGCCTCTTGTCTTATTTCTTCTTTAGCTTCTCTCTCATAGGATTTCTTGATTAACCCTAAATCCTTCAAATTCGAGGTGGTTCTTCCATTTTTTGTCGTTCTGCTTCTATTATTTTAGGAGCTCGGGTTGATCTTTATCTCATCTTCCTCTTTTCTTGGACCCCTTTATGATTGCCAGGGTTTTCCTCTTTGGTTGTCGTTGCCTGGATCCTTGACCCATTGAGGACTGTTCCTCAAATGTCCCTTCTTTCTACATCTATTTTGACTATTTCACCCCTCGTGCCTTCAAGGCTGTTTCTTTTGAGGCTACAGGGTTTTCTATCTCCCTTACTATTGGTGACATCGTAGATGGATTGGTGAGGATGATCTGCCGAGCTCCCGAGGTGAGTGAAGGGGTAAATTTTTCAAACCTTGATGAGGTTAGTGACCTTGGAGATGTGGACGATGAGATAGATAAATTTTCAAGGGTTGATGTGGTTGAAATCTAGGTTGTTAGTGCTAGGGCTCCCTTGTTCCTTTTTGGCTCAATTGCGAAGCCCAAGAGGTCTCGGAAGAGACGGTCTAGGAAAAATGTTGTGGGGACCTTGGGCATTACTGGGGAGGATAAGGACACTCCGAGCACCTCAAATACCCTTGGGCCTAGTAAAATTACCCCTCTCTAGCTCGGTACACTTTCTGCCAAGTATGATTTCCCTAAGAACATGCACGTTTGGTATTCTAACATTGATAACCATTATAATACCTTGCTTACTGAGAATATATGTTTCTTTTATGTTGCCTTTGAGAATGGGCTTAGGTTTCCCATGCACCTATTCCTAAAGTTCGTGCTCCAGCATTTTAATGTATGTCCAGCTCGACTCTCCTCCAACTGTGGGGGTATCCTTGTAGGCCTTATGGTTTTTTTTTAAAAAAACAACCTTGTTGGCTTCCCTACTATTCCCTTACTCATGAATTTCTTCAATGTCAAGTTCTCTCTTGTCGATGGCTTCCTTTATATTTCGAAGCGGGTGTAAACTCGTGCCCTGATAACCGATTTGCCGACCTCCCACAAAGGTTGGAAAAATAGCTTCTTCTTCGTGTCTGGCAAGGAGTGGGAGTTCAACCCGAGGGATGCCTCTGATACACTTTTTGTGCCTCAAGCTTGGTTAAACCTAGATAATTTGTGTGAGTTCATGTCAAGGTGTCTTAGTTGAGCTTTGTTTTTTTTTTTTTAATCTTTATGAGTACTAACATTTCTTTTGTTGTTTCAAGTATTCGTCTCGACCTTAGTGCCAATGAAAAGCTCCTCCTTCGAGACCTTAAAGAATGCCCCCTCGAAGAAATACGCCAGGCTCATCACGTCCTTGATTCTAGCTTAGCACAGCTTAGGGCCTCCAGTGGCAAGAGTTGAGGTTACTATACCTATTTCTAGTATTAGAAGAGAAGACCTTCTTGGTAAGACCATTACTTTTATACCTTTTGTTAGAATTTCATCCTATTTTGTTGGATCTCTGGATTAGTCCTTTGTTTTCCTTTCCTACTTAGATCTTAACGCAATGGCTCCAAACGCTGATGTTGTAAAGACAAAGCTGGACAAGATAAGGGCTGATGGTAAAGCCTCAAAGTCTTCCAAAAAAGGAAGTTGAGGTCATGCTCAATGATGACTTGGAGCCTTCAAAAAAAGTGCCCAAGAAGACCGCAATAAGAAGGCCTCTACTGCTCCTAAGCCATCTATTTATGCTAAGAAGGTTAAGGATCCTCCTTCTGAGCTCAAGAAGACTCCTGTAGAGGTAGCCAAGATCTCTGACATGCCTAAGGAGATGATCAAGACCTCATTTGAAGCTACACCATCTCTTCACAACCATCTTCCAATGTAGACTTCAAAGGAAGCACCTTCGAGAGTGCTTCATCAGGCATCGGGGAGTCCTTTAGCTAGTGTGGCCAAAGGTTAGCATTCTCTTTTGGGTGACATGAACCTAACCGCAAGTGTTATGCTCTCAATCGTTCCCTAAGCAGACATCCAGAAGGTTTCCCCAATGTCTCTTTCTACCTCAATGGTCAATACCTTACATGGGGTAACCTCAGTAAGTTCTTGATCTCTATCTTTAGAGTTTAATGGAATCCTCAGTTCCTGACCTATATCTATTTTTGTAGATAACAATACACATCGGTGCTTTGGTGAACAGAGTTTGAGATTTAGAGAAGAATATCGAAGATGCCAAGAAATTTGTTAAGGCTTTTGAGCTCAAGGTTGCAGAGCTGACCTTTGAGAGTAATGATCTCAAGAACAAGGTCGAGGATCTGAGCTCGTCCAAAGAGAGGCTCGAGACCAAGGTCAAGTTGAAGACAGATGGTCTTATGCAAGCTTGAAAGGATGTGGTGGAGACTTGGGAAGTGTCGAAGTCAATGAAGGATGACCTAAAAGATCTGAGCATAGTTTGCGACAACTACCACAAGGAGTTCGAGGCCGAAAAGTCCAAGGTTACTATTAGGGATGCCACCAATGTTGGTCTGAATGATGAAAATTTTTTTGCCTAGTCCAAGGGCTACTTCACCTTCCA